GAATAGGCTTAGCTCTGCTATTTTTGCGATTAGGATGGTTAGGTAGGTATCAGACATCGACAGTGCCAGACTTGTTTATTTCAGTTATTTTCACAGCATCCTGTCGGGTATTAGTTGGCATTTTTTGTGGGGTAGAGCATCTGATATAAATTCTATATAAATTTTTCAAAAATTAGCAGTCCGAGCAATCTATAACATCGGAGCAAGGAATACACTCGGAGATCTTTTTTAAAGATATTAATATACTCACTGTTGCGTCTCAATAAATTTATTATAATGTTTTATATGTTCGACATAACTTTTATTATAACTTAAGCAATAGTGACAGACATAAATTAAATACTAGAATTAAGTACAAACTAACAACGCCATTGTTTCGTCTACAAAAAGTACATAGGTCGTTCATGAGGCACAGTCCATATTAAGTCTGCCACTAGATTAATTTAAACGCAAAATTAAAAGTAAACTTATGGTTAAAGCATATATGTGGAGTTAATTTTTGTACCGTACTGCTCACGTAGAGATTGACAGGAATTTGGGATTCCATTCACACATGCTTGGATTAAAAGCATATCGTAGTGTTCATTATAAGCGTATTCTCTGAACGTATTCACTGCATGACACAGGTTAGTGCACCATACTTCTTTAAAGAAACAGTTGTTTATGCCTGAGAGGTAGAGGCAATTCGCCAGGATCCTCGCAATGTTCGAATAAGCTACTAATTGCTACTGAAAGAGGTAAAAAATGTCGAACTTTTATCCTGAGGTGTTTCCGGAAGGACATCTTACATACACCTGTCCGAGGAAAGGTGAAAGAACAGGGACTAGTCACCAGGGAACGGGTGCGGCTACCCCAATGATGATAAATACATCAATGATAACGCGGTAGCAATGCTACCCAAAAAGTTCTCATTTTCAGAAACTCGGATGGAAATAGTCTTCTACTAGTAGAAGGAATTGGTGGGACATTTTGCCATCTAACATTAGACACTGCAGCGTAGCGGAACGTAATTAAAAGCAAACTATTTCGTCAGCTTTATTATCAGCGAGTGTTTTCCGATGAAAATTTACAAACATCTACTGCTACAGGCCAGCGCATACTGATACACGGTGTAGCCAGGGTCGTTATAAAGGCGACTGAACAACTTTACTGGCATTAGGTAATTGTCGCTGACATCGACTACGACATGTACTATTGGAGTGAATTTACTTCGAATTCATAATTGTGTCATATATTTGTTAGACGGAGCGTTAAGATGTGGAAATAAAGAAATTCCAATAAAGTTCAAGACTAAAGGGAAACCGGAGAGCTAAGCCAAAGGAATGTAGTCAGATATGAGGAAAAACAACATTGTAACATTTACGAACTCTTGCCGTTCCCCGTGTTTCTAGTAAAGCTTTGATTTTCCACTAGATTTTGCATTGATTGTATTGCTGAATAATGTAATGAGGCAATACGATCTTTTTTATTTTGGAATATCTTGAATCTGGATCTCCACCATCCAGATGGATTAAAATTAAGGTTTTGTACCGATAATTTTACCCTCAAAGAGTACCAAGATTTTCCATTGGACCTGGGAATTGGGAAATCTTGGTGTTACATGATAATAAATACGATAATCTTATACACATATAATCCTACCAAATTAATGTTCGCCTTTAACATGGATCCCTACTTTCTTCAGCAATAGCCGCTTACTAGATGAAGCTACTTTTTCTTTCCTTTTTTTAAAACGTTGCCCTTACTGTATATACCCTGTTGTAATGACGTTTTAAATACATAAATTTGACGTGGACATACACCCAGATCTGAAACAATTATCTGTGGGTCACAAAAATAGTTGTAGTGTTATAAGGGAATCGAACCCACGGTCCCCAGCGCCGAAGCCAATTCCTTGGTAGCTACAGCCACTCATATGTCTATATAAAGACTAGGTAAAATCATATAATAGTAATATCTGAGCGGTTAACAATCTATCAGCAAGTTGCGCGTTTATCTTATCCTTTAAACGAGCAATTAAATATATGTATGTATGTATGTATATATATATATATATATACAGCGTGTCGTAACCATCGCGACAATAAATGAACACACGTCTAACACTACTTGCCAATAAGCATAAAAATATATTAACATTAAACAAAATCCATAATTAAAAAAATTTTTTGTCAAACAAACTTATTAAGTAAAAAAGAAACAAAATTTATAACATCCTAAACAACTCGCGCCACAGCGTCGTCAGTAAGCCTCTCCTTCTAACAGTATGTTTTGTCTCTTTTAAATTCATTCAACCCATTCATATGCTTTACAATGAACCTTTACAAATGAACTTTACGTTACGCTTTTATAAGTAAGGATGTTCTAAAATTCTTTGTTTTAGAAAATTTTATAACTCTGTAAATATTGATGTTTAAAGAATTTAAATGTTTAATACAACTTTAAAAAGTTATCCCCTATATGTGTGTTCATTTATTGTCGCGATGGTAACGCCACGCTGTATATATATATATATATATATATATATATATATATATATATATATATATATATATATATATATATAAAATCGGAATCTCGAAAACGGCTCCAGCGATTTTCATGAAATTTTGTATGTGTATAGAAAATCGATCTAGCTAGCTAATGTCCTTTTATCCCTGTTTACGGGGAATGAAAAATATCATCCGAATGTGACAGTAAATTATTACTTATTTTTTTACAGACCATTTTCTTTATTTTTAATTTTTTTCTAATTTCGAAAATACATGATTTACCAAAAAAATACGAGCAAAGCTCGGTCCTCCAGGTACTTTCTATTTAATGTGAGTAGCATTAAGCCTGTAGCAACATTCGAAATATTTATTAATAAACTTCGTGGTCTATCCCAGATCGATTCATTTCGTGACATTCTAATGGAGCGTAAAGAAATATTCGGTATGACTTTATAACATCGAAAGAAATACACAGGGCGATAAGTAAACTATGTGGTAGATGATAAAAAATATCTTCTTCTTTTCGTGTCGATGGCAATACCTATTTACACGATATCTGTCCAAAATTCAGCTACATGAATTGTATTTGTCAGTAGCATTCATCAGGTCCTCCTGCGTGCAGTTGGTTGGGGGGGACGTAGTAAGCCTTCCCGTAGAGCGTCACCTTTGCTCAGGCCCTCCCCGTGAGTAGCGGCAGAAACCGTGAAACTAATTACGACGACACGATGGCAAGCCCAATAATAAAAATATAATATACGAGGTCACAAAAAAATTTGCTAAGATTAAAAAAAAAGCACTAGATTCTAATCAACCATTTTAATTGCACTTTACTAGTAACATGACTAATTTCAACGCTAAGATGGTAATTCAATAACAAAATAAACTTTTTTTAAACGTTCACCATTAAAAGCAGTAATAAAATATGGACAAACACGTTCAAAATATATGGTATATATCCATCGAACATTCACCACAACATTTATAATAAAGAAGTAATCATGACAATTATATGCATACGCGGAACAATGTTGTTCATTTTATTTAATTCAAAAACGAATATGCACAATAATGTTTTCGTCTTAAGATATTACATGTTTAAAATGGCGTTATATTCACCGAAATGACATTTACTATAATAAGCATAATAATTGCTCTAATAGACTTAAATAAGGGAAACAATAATATATAAAAATGCTGAAACAAGTTCCCGTTAAAAGGCCCCGTCGGTAACAGTTGTTGACAACATTGGTGTTATATAATATTGTGAAGTGAACACTCATCTATCATTGATTTACATTACGTCACATGTAGTTTCGTTATCATTAATCGTCAGTATTTTGTACAGACGGAATCCGGAGATTTCGCGCAAGCTGATGATGCATTCCTAGACAATTTTTACGAGATTTTACACAATTTCGGGATCCAACGATCCTCCAACATGCGTAGCTACATTTGAATTTCATTTGATGTATAACCAAATCCTCAACGCACTTTTATACGTTAATTTCCGAAGTAACATTTTCCTGTGGAATGTGGTATTGATGCGATGATTTCGAGTGGGATGTCTTTGGACCAGTATGAAGTAAACATACCTACGCCTAACCTAGCCGTTTGAGAAAACGATCTTTTATTATTGATCATCGTCAAAAAGTCAATTCAAACAGTTTCATTATGTAAGCGGAGTAGACAGCACTAGCCACAAGCGCACTAGTAAGGGGTCATCAATAACTGGATGCATACAGAGAACTCGGGTGTTGCAAGGCGATGCTGAACATCGATGGTTCTTGATAATTAACAAATAGCCTTGTGTACACGCTGATATCCTGATGGATATCTGTGGTACAATTTGACAAACATATGATAGCCTTTAAGAGAAATGACAACAGGGAAGGCAACTTTTGCCAAGAAAAATTGTCTTAACAAGTCTTTGGTTGCCTCATATACCCGTATTGCAATTCAAAATTGTGTGATGACCCCTGGGCAGGTGCCGACTAGTATACGCCGATGGGTCAATTCATACATAATAATCAGCAATTTGATGTTCATACATAAATGGTCACGGGATCTCAATGCTATCTCGGAAATCTCCACTGCGCTCAAAAATGTACGATGATTGCTTTTTAGATATAGACATTCCGTCGAGAGTAACATCGACTGCATCCTTGTAGAGCCATCCCAGGAGACTTAAATACTAACGGAACTCCGTTCTACGCTCAGCCAGATGCATGACCCCTGATCAGCCGCAGTCCACTTCACTCCGAGGGTTCACAGCAACTGGACCAAGTGGAACAGCGTTTGCTAGCTACCATTAGTTAATGTTTTATCATGAATCAAGTCGGTGTTGGATGGCTTTATGACGAACTTCACTAGTAGAATGACTGTTACTTGGATAAATTCTTCAAAATCCCGGATCCCGACATAGGGCAACAAAAATTATGGTAGCAGACGAGTTTCTAGGACGCATGCCGCTCGACTGTGCTAGCACTTGCGCCGCGATTTTAATTTTCAGGATCTATTCTTTATTCGATGATCTGTAAGCATAAAAATAAATGCGGCTCAGTGCGACAGTATTGTTAAAGTATAATAATATTATTAGTAGGAAAACGCATGCCCAAATAAGCAAAGTAATTTATTTCTAATTCTTAGTAGAGCGGTTGAACCGCTCTAATAAGAATTAACTTTTATTCGCGCCAACGGTCCAATCATTACATTCAAACTATGGAGGGGCCGTGTGTATCGATTGTGTATGATTAGTGCCCGCTCTCATTTAGAAACCGATTAAGTTCTTATCAATATATAAAAATACCAGAGGCGACATCAAATTGTAAAATCCGTTATTGGAAATTGTTTGTGTTGTGTAAAGTACTTAATAATTGATGGCGCCAAACCCTGCTTTGTTATATATCACTGTTAGTAATCGGGAATAGGCAAAAAATGCGAAATAACAAAGTAGACAAAACTTATTGAGATTATCGTCGACGTGACAACCAGCAACTGCGAAAGACGCGCTTTCGGAACCTCGGCCAAATTTCCGTTTGCTTTTTTTTTTCCAATTTTTCTCCGAATTTTAATTTAATTGACATATTTCATCTGCGGCATAAAATACTCACTGTTGCGCGGGAGTACCACCGGCTGTTTGTCGGCGATTGTGCAGCAGTAGGGGTTGTTGTGGAACGAGTAGTGGATGGTGAGGTGCTTGTCGTCGCCGACGCACGGATCGTAGAAGCCCGGCAGCTCAGACTGCAATGGGGAAAGGGATGCGAATCCGTCACGACCAGAGCGACCGATACCGGAACGAAGTGTTCAGCGGATTGTACGGTGCGCTTACGCTGCTTCGGGATTGGTAGCGCGTGGGGTGTGCAAAAAAGCATAGCATGTATAAAATAACCTTCCATACATTAACCATCTATATGTTTTCGTTCGTTTTTTAAGATGTCAATATGCTAAGTAGTTATATTTGGAACGCTCTACTACGTTTTTACTGAACTCTCGACCCGCAAATCATGTGCTTCCTCAGTTGGATTCCACACACATGTTCATTGACACAGCAACGACACAGGGTGAAACGTTCTCATATTGTATAATATTTAAAGGAGGAATGTCTCGACAGTTTTAGAAGCGCTTGAAATATTTGACACAAGTTTTTACAGAAAAGTACGAGACATGATGGCGACCAAGTAACCAATACAGTGAAAAGTTCTAGACTTACTTTGCTGGCTTCGAGCAACTCCAGTCTGGAGCCTTTGACCAGACACTGAATCGGTATGGTGACGTCGATCACTTCGCTGTAGGCACTCGCCGTTTCCGTCTGAGTACCGTCACCAGCTTCCTCAGCATTCACTTCATGACTATCGGCACCTGTCAATATAACTAACATATTTAATAATCGTTGGATGCACAAAGTTCTGATACGTTAGATATAGATCGGCCGGTGATCTGTAACATTAGAAAAGTAAAACAGCGGCCCATATACGTCCACTGCTCGGCGATAGCCTCCTCTGCACAGAGGGCCCTTTTTTTTTGGTATCGGGGGGGAAATCTTCAAAAGATACCCTGTCACTTTACACGACAGGGTTATGTGGGGATCTTACCCACTAAAACCCTCTCGGTGGCCACCTTCTGTACATTTGGAGGGACTCCGGGATCTCCCATGGAACGCACCGGTGTCCCAAGGTACTACGCCTGAGCACGCCTCGGAGAAGGATAAACCTTCTCCAATCCCCTCATCCTCTTACAGCAACATGAGACCACTTCGTGCTGCTGCCCATCCGTGTCCCCTTTTAGTCGCCTTTTACGACAGGCAGGGGATACCTTAGCCCTATTCTATAGGCCCGGGACTACAGGGCTGCTGTACAGAGGGTCCTAGCGCATAATTCGCATAACGCATAGTCTATCCCATCTAGTCTATAGAACCCACCACGGATTGGGGGACTTCACGTGAAAAATGCAATTTCTTCACCCTCCAAAATATTCGCCCTCCAAATTGAACACGTCATAAATGAGCCACTGTGAACAATGAACCGCCCGGACACTGAGCTGATTTTACATAACGTTGGAACAACGACCTTGGTATCTTAAGTGTTTGGTATGACTTTCATCATCATCTTTGCAGCATGTTTGAGTCCACTACTGAACACAGGACATTTCGCGACCTCGCAAATTGTCTACATCCATTTATTATCCAAGTTGGTTGTGGATGAGGAATTCTCTCGCGGTAAGAATGCTGTTTTCTACTACGGCCCTAATAAAATAAATACGATTTAGTGCAGCATAGGGTCGAATCTCGAAAACTGTCGTACAAACCTGCGGGCAGCTTTCCGTATACTGCGCGCACTATCACCAAGCCCTTCTTTTTCTCCTCATCACCCCTGATCCTGGAGTAGGTTTCCCTCATCAGTTCCACGGTAGCCCGCGCCTGTTGTTGCATTTCCTTCAGCCTGCGAAAGTGAAACAAAACGGTGAAACATTTTTCACCAAGGTAACAATAACACTCACAAGGTAAGTAGGCAATGTAACTCCGGTTACTCCATCTAAATGGCTAAAAAAAAACTTAACACAAGCCGTATCATCAGGATTCTATCTCATTGTTCGGGCGCACGTTTTTATACGCCAAGCACGGATTTTAAAATCGCAACCTCCGTATAATTATGCCGACGCCGACCGCCTCTTCTTCCGATGGAGCTGCCAAGCTAGCAGCAGAGTGCACTTCGAAAACAATTATCCCTTCATATATTCGGCAATGGGAAACCTGAATATCAGTCATCACTGTTCTACACCTTGTAACTATCCAATATTATACTATAAATAACAGTCCAAGCTCAAGGAAAAAGGAGAGGGCACCCCCTCTTCTTTTTCCTTGAGCGGCTGCGGTTTGTACCTTTCGAAATTTGCTTCCATCGAGCGTTGCCTCTCGCGATCGGCTCGCTCCCGCGCGATCGGATCCAGTACCAGCTTCTTGAGGACCAGCCAAGAGACCAGCGGCACAACGGTGGCGTAGAACACCGGCGAAGGGGTCACCTCCTCGCAGAGGTGTATTGGCACCACTATGGTCTGGGTCGAGCAGGTCCATCTGCGGAAGGTCGAGCCAGCTTAGACCGGCGCTTTTCCCCGAGTGACCTTAACCTTAAACAAGAACCAAATGTGGAAGAAAGTTTCTCGAGTGGCGGCATCGTTTTGGCTATCGTAGAGCAGGACGATCCCCACTACCTGTGCTCGGTGTGAAGTGATAGAGAAGTCGATGGATGCAGGTTTTGTTCGTTGTCAGGGGATAAAAATTAATGCACGAGCAAATCCAGAGTTTCATTTGGTTTCATTGTCAGAGCCACGCAACAGTTTCTGTTGCACGAATAGGTAGGTTCGTTCGTCGACGTAACGATGCCTCCCAGAACAGCGACCTGAAGTGTGAGTACCATACTTTCTGCTTTCGCCTATAGAGTGAGGTAAACGGTGCCCACTTTTTTAAAGGTTGTCAACGCATCTCCAAACCCTCGAGCGCTGAAGATGTCCATGGGCGGCATAATCTTAACATCAGGTAAGTATAAGTATATAAAACGTAAGCTTACTTTAATTCCGCCAGAGAGTTGGCCGCCAAGGCTTTCGAAACATGCATGGTGTTTCTAATATGTACGGGCGGAGATGATTGATTACTAACCTTTGAGCTATAACTAGATGATTCATCGTTTAAAAATTAAACGGCCCAAACTGTAAATTATAGAAACCTTTATGATGGAAAAGCAATTATTTCTTAAAACCTGATAATTCAGGTTCAACTGAGTCGACTCTAGCTTACTTTAGTTTGAGCATGACACCGCTGGGTACGCCCAGCATAACGGCGGCTGACACGCTGCTATTTTGAGACACTTTCTTCTCGGCCCCATACTCCGCTATGGCACCAAATGTTCCGAACCTATAACAAGTTAATTTATTTTCTGTGATTAACACCGAAGCCTAATGAGCTGAGACTTTATAGACCTACATTTTAAATAATCCATAAATAATCGCATAATGCAATGTGTGAAACAATATTTATAAACATCTTGTTTCTTGGATTTTATACATTAAGTCATTCATAAATTCGCATTATGTATTAATTCGCAATGCCATTCTGTCAACAGTTTCTTACACACAGAGTTGCGCATATCACAATATAAATATGGCGACAATAAAATTACATAATGTCAACGCTAACATCGCAGGTACTTATGTAACATTATTACCATAAATAATGATTAATAAATTATTACTGATTTGCTTACAACAAAGCATCAGACAGAATCGTGGAATTATTACATTGGTTATTTAAATTTATGCTTTTATTCATATCGAGTATTGTTTATATATTCGTAGTTCATTGGCAATTGTAATAATGTTTCTAAGGTGAGGTTTCTAGAAGACTTTTTATCTGGTGCAATGAAGATATTAATGTGGGGCAGAGTAGTGATTAATGATATTACGATTATGATTCGTCTTTACTACGGGATATCTGTATATACAGGGTGTTACAAAACTACTCGTAAAACCGAAAGGTGGTTAAATGGGGCCGGGCCTTCTAACGAGTCCATTCACAATATTTAAGAACCGTAGTAACGCTGTATAACATACCTTAAAAAATAAAATAATATTTTTATTTTCACTGATGTGATGTAACTATTTCAGTAAAATTAAAGAATAAACTACGCAGAATGTACCTACCTACATTTCTATCCTTGCTATCTTCATGGCCTACGCATTTTAAACTTGACATTTTTTGAAGCCAGTACTTGACTATAATGACATCCTTGTATTGAGGTAGCAAACATTTACGAATGAAAAATAGAAAAACTTTAAAAGTTGACAATTTTAGGTAAAATAGGTACGTAGGCTTTTCTGTTAAATAATCTGGTTCCCTGACATGACAGCTTACTAGGGTTGACAAAATTTTTGGCTTTTATAATTAATCATATTTTTTAAGGGGTATTTTGTAACACGTTGTATATAAAAATGAATCCCTATTTCCCTTGGTCACGCCATCACACGTGAACAGTTGGACCGATTTGACTTCTTTTTTTGTTGTGTTTGTTATTATCAGGAGAAGGTTCTTATGAAAGAAAAAAATTTAAAAAATTGCCTGAAAAAGTCTAAAAACAACCCTTTACTATATTCCCGTACAAAAGATTCGTAATAATACTTAAAAGTCAATTTGAACTTTAATACCATACCATAAAGTTTAAGTGTTAGTAGAGGGGTTCCGGGAAGGCAAAACAAGTGAGTGACTGTGGTATATACATAATTTTTTTGCAATATGTGAAAGACAAAAATTGTTATCGTTAGGAGATAAACATATACCATCTTGGAATTTTTATTCGATCTTTTTATGATATACATTTCCATAGTACATTAATTTGATATATCTTGTAAGGTTTGGCCAGTTTTTTTTTCTTACGACACTGCATTACACCGCAATGAATTTCTGTGCTTTTCTTTATTATAGTATGCATGTATACTACATATAAATTCATTCCTCTTGAATCACTCTATCTATTGCAGAAAACTGCATTAAAATCCGTTGCGTAGTTTAAAAGATCTAAGCGGACAGAAAGCGGGAACGACTTTACTAAATAAGGATTCTTACTATACTATTATAAACGCGAAAGTTTGCATGTATGGATGGATGGATGTTTGTTACTCTTTCACGCAAATACTACTGAATGGATTTTAATGAAACTTTACAATAGCACAGCTTATACATCAGAATAAGACATAGGCTATAATTTATATATATTCATTTACGGTGGTAGGGCCACGCAACAGTGTTCGCTGTTACACAAATGGGCAGGTCCGTCCGGGTTAGTACCACGACCTCACAGAAGACCCGCGTAAAGTAAAGTAAATGTGGTGGCAACGCATCTGCAACTCTACGGGTGTTGCAAATGTCCATGGACAGGCGGTTTTCACTTAACATCAGGTGAACCGCCAGCTCGTTTGCCACTTTCTCACATAAAAAAAATATTTCATGTATTTCTTTCTTTCTGTCTGAATGTTACGCCTTCAGCCTATTCTATGCAGACGTACTCGCGGGCAGCAGCTAGTAAATTTATGAACTGATACCAAAAATGCATGATATTTTATGAACATACGGTTATTTCGTTGTTAAACAAAAGTCTGCATATGAATCTACTAATGACTATTAAGGCCCATTTACACGGTGCCAGTTTCTTGCCTGTTGTATACAATTAAATTGAAGCAATAAATGAGTTGCATGGTCTAAACAACAAATGGTCTAAACAATTATTGCGCGCAATTTATTGCATTCAATTATTGCTCTTGTATGTTCAAGAAAATGGCATCGTGTAAATGGGCCTTTACTCTATATCCTTTGTTACCCTTTATTTTCGTCTGCATCAGGAGCTGTATTTTTTAAAAATAAATCTGTAACTAGGGTATCTTTCACGAATATAACGACATAAATCTTCAATGAAGACATGAAATCTTAGTCAGATCTTAGATAATGTCAATGATATGAAGGTTTACGTCCCTCGATAATTGTATGCGGGTCATAGCGATATCGCGTAACAATCAAAGATGAATGCATGCAATATGAAATTAAAAGTGAATTGGTAACAGAAACTATTGCGCACAGCTGTAATGCGCACCGCGCTGAGCAAACACGTTAAACTCAAATTATCTCGCATAACATAAAAAACACAAATTATTTCGCATAGTATTAACAATAACAATGTTTTTCAACTTCTGAAGCATGCTTGATGCATTTTGATAGAGGAAAAGCATACTCACTTCAGAGCTAATCTTAATTTAAGGTCGTGCTGAGGTAACTTTCTCATAACATTGAATGAGATGAAGGAATGCGGGTTGCCAATTTGTAAGGCAGTGTTGGTGTGGTACTTTTCAGAGTCCCGTACATAAATAGAGGTCATGGAGGAACCGCCTTGGCCTCCCGCGCGATAAGTCAAGTAACCAACAGAGTGTGCATCTAACTGTAGCGCTACAGCTGGAAATAAAATATAATTATGTACTTATAATGAAAGAAAACTATTGACATGTGACAATACTTCTAAAAGCAGTGTTGGTCATTCTATAATGACAAAAAGTACAAAAAGTAATTGAGACAGTGAATGATATGGAAATAATAGCAAAGGTATTTTTAGGTTACCACTCCAGAGAACAATGTTTTTTTATTTTTTTTTGTTAATTTTTCACTAATACATTTTTTTATAATGTTACCCTGTTTAATTGAGAAAACCTAGGGCCAAAGGAATAAAAATGTTTGGTAAAATTTAAATCTATAGATATAATTATTTAATGTATGTAATAATTTGTATGTATTCTATTTTTTTAGACATTAAAAAAAAGTATTACTATACAGAATGTGCATCTTGCATTTATCTACAAAAAATGAGAGTTTATATTTACTTGACACTAGACTTGGCACAATCCCTCTTGGTGTAAACTGTAATACAGTTCCGCAGTTAAGAAACATCAGTCGTGACAATGTCCGAAATACCTTGAACCCAAGAAGAGGTCCATTACCAATACCACATTCTACTTCGGCCCAACCTTTTTCCGAGCTTAGATGGCGATTTGATACATTAACAGATCCTGAACCTGCAATACCAGTAAATGCTAGATTTAACAATGCAATTTTTTTATATTATTGACTTAAATGAAATGAATTATTAACAGGCATTTTTTATTACTTAGTGATCTTCTTTTTTTTTACATTATTCTAATAAGGGTTTGCACAGATTGAATGGGGAGAAAGACATCTAAAATCATATGTATAAATCCTACAATGGTTAAAATTCAAAATCATTGTTAGTACTCGTATTCAAAGCAGAGATTTTCCTTGAATATTTAACAAAACGGAACAAGGAAGGAACAAACGGAATAAGGAACAAAACCTTCTAAATGTCTATGAAAAGTTAATATTGAAGAAAATTTATAAGATTTTTAGTAGTAATTTTATTTGCAATTCAAATTTATGTTTTGTCGTAAGTTTCCATAAAGTGTAAAACAAAATCTGAACACTTTGTTATTTGGGACTGTTTTTTATGTAGCTTTATGTAGCTAAGCTACCTTCGAGAGACCAAAACTATCAAATTGATAGTGAATTTGAATTCAGAAACATTACCAATGCCATTCTGTGTGGAAATATTTCCTGATAATGTCATAGTATTCCGGAGTGTCACAGGGGCATCAATTGATTGTTGAATTGTCATGCCCGAAACTTCTATGTTGGGAATAACTGTTGTGTCCTCCCTAAAAGATAACTCTATAGTTATAAATATATCCTCAATTAATACTGTAATATTAGAAAATTTTTTACTTACAAAATTTCATACTCATCATAATATTTCATAAACATATCTGTCGCATTTATAGACAGTGTAATAGTGCCACGGGGATTGGCACTTTGTTGCAATCGGCGTTCTTCCCTTTCTCGTTTCAACCTGCGAATGAAGAAATTATACAATAAGTAGTTAGAGGTTTGATTACAATTAGATAAAGACACCTAGAGTAAATTGTGAGCCTTCACCTTAATTTTAAAAGAATGTGGTGGGTTTAGCATTTAAGAAATTTGAAAATTCTGAAAAGTGTTGTTTAAACAATAAACTAGGGATTTCAGACAGGAAACTATAAAATTTAAAAACTTACTACATATCAATGTTATAGGTAATCACTAAGAGCGGTCACTTGATATGCAAAATGGCATTTGAAAAGGCTGTGAGATGTTGTTTGTTTTCTTTAACTCAAAAAATAATGATAGCTCTATGGCAGGACTCAGAACATCTTGACTAAGTCATTGAAATGGGTTAAGTTGTTCGAGTGTTAACCATTGTTTGGGTTAACCTTTTATTGGTTTAACCATTTGTTTTTGGATAGGGTGTAACATCAAAATCGCTTGCTCTTGGAATAGAATCATCAACTATCATAGAAAACTCTAATTGAATTAAGTCAAATGAACTATTTAGCTGCCTTCCACACCAGTAACATATCTAATGTAAATCCTTTCTTGGCTGTAAGTTAAGCATATGTGATATACATGTCAAGAACTAAAGGCTGTGGATTTTGTTGCTCAATAAAATAAAATAATGTGTAGACAGGGAATGTAAATCTTTTTTGCATATATGGAGTGCATGCATATACACTATTGAAAACTGTGATTTAACACTGTGCATAAACATTAAAGACTGACAAGGTAACTCTGCAACTGCCAAGATAGTTGTGGGTTCCATTTCCACAGGCAATTATGTGTTTCAGATCTGGATGTTTGTCCACACAGGATAATGTAATCCTACAGTAAGAGGGCAATGTTTTCAAAAGGAATCAGGATCTTCCAGGTAGTCAGTGGTTGTTACTACCCAACCCTTCCTCACACAATGTAAGCTTGACACTAGGGCTCAAAATTAATATTTATTACATATTTACCAAATATTTTTTGATTCATTTCAGTTAGGTAAATTACAGCATCATCAATATTTATATTACTAATCTACTTAAAAATATTGTATATAACATTAAAAAGAAAATTATTCATACCGTTCATATTCCTCCCTAATTTCTTTTGGTGTCCGAGTCCTAAAAATTATTTCCCACCCATCAACTTCTAAACCTCTTTTGCCTAAAAAGTTAAGAAGGTTATATTTTATATACCTACTGAACATTATGTTGTATAGTTAGACTTTCATGTGGAGGTATTTACAAGTGATCTTTTTCATTTAATAAATGCACTTAATCAAATGAAGGTTTCAAATCAAATATTTTTATTCAAATAGACTCTTGCATGTTCTTATGGATCAGCAAATTTTATAAAAAATTATATATATATATATATATAGGTTCATAAGGTACCATTGGTTCAGAAAGCAGTTTCTGACGAGAAGAGATAATCAGTTAACAATATAACATACAGGTATAATAGTCTTACTTTAGCCTATGTGAGTATCAACAGTATTAACTCCACACATTGGTGATGTCTAGATATTCCACAATGGTAAAATATACCTTAACCATAAGTTGACTTTTAATTTAATGTTTAAATTGATCAATCGGCTGACTGTGGGATTTTATTATACATGTGAAATTCAAAGGAAGGTTAAAGAAGATAATTTTGAACAAAAAAAAATTCGACTTCAAACAGGAAACTAAGCATTGTCACCTATAACATTTTTTTTTGCATATCAACACCTATAACATTTGAGGATTGCCCTCGATTTCTCTGGGATGCAATCATTAGATCTGGGTTTCCTTATCGTGGTGCTACCCTTGGGATATCTCCTTTACAACAAAAAAGAATCATCAAAATCGGTTCATAAATGACAAAGTTATCCCCAAACACACATAAATATATATATATATATATATATATAAATATATAAATATATGGTCGAATTGAGATACCTCCTCCTTTTATGAAGTCGGTTAAAAAGTAATTAGGATTGAATATAAAATAAATAGGTGGCTGAGGCTGGTGGTACTTTTAAAAAATGAAATTTTCTTACCTAATGTATCATAAATTGCCCTTTTGTGTGAGTCAGAAAGCACTTCATAAGCTTCTTTGACTTTATTAAATATTTGTTCTGCCCATTTTTGCTTGTTAGGGTCAGTGCTGTGTTTGTCAGGATGAAACATACGTGAGAAGCGTCGGTAAGCACTATTGATTTCTTCTGTTGATGCCTTTTGAGTGTGATGATATTAATTAATATCACAATAATGAACCAAATTAGTTAGTTGATGTAATATAATTATCAAGGTAAATTCAAAATGTTGTTTATTGGTATGTTAAATTTTTTTAAACATTTTACTTTGTAATGTGGAAATAACTGAATGACACACCGCCGCTAAGTTTTGTTTTATAATGTTTTGTATTATTCTTGATCCATTAATTTGTGGAGAATATCTTACACAATTAATGGATCAAGATACGAGAAGAATACTTTTAAGGTAATTTTATTTTGTTAATTTTAGATAAATTTAAAATAAAATAACCTCAAAAACAAACACGGCTGACAAGTGTATAGATAAATGTGTAATTAATAAAACGAATAAGGTACTGAACCTTAATGCTTTTTATCATATAATATATCTTTTTATCATTTTTTCTATACGTTATTGACATAATTTTTAAGTTATATAATAATGTTGCAATATTCCTGAAATACTTTGCAACTAAACATGTGTTTTGATATTTACCGTCTTTGAGACATTGAGTAATTGATAATAATTATCTTCCATTATAATATTTTCTCCTTCTTCGTCCATTGTATATATTTTGTAAAAAAATAATTAAATAGTTTTTTGGTTCAGTACACCGACGTCTAACAATTTCTTTTACCGCCGCTATGACAACTTCTTACTGTTGCCAGCATTAAATTTTAATAAATGAAAAAATGGGATTAAAAAATAGCCGTTCATGAGACAGTGTCCTTAATCAATCTTTTAAATATATAGATATTTTAAAACAAATGCTATATTTACAATATACGTTGAAGAAGAATACTTAAATTGCAATTAATTCAGACATTTTTAAAATTAAAATACACAATACGAAAACGTGTTAAAGTTAAATGTATGAACCATTTAAAGGATTTAATTTTATTTGCTTTCACATGCTTGCACAGTTGAGGTCGTGAGTTACAATTTAACCGTGCTTAGGCAGAAGTGCATAATGTAATAATCAGTGCAAATTTCAACTGAAAATTATTTCATTGTTATTAAGACGGCGGAATGAAGCACAGACAATTATTGCAAATAATCTTGTTTACTATACCATAGATATTGCTCAGCTATCTGAATGCAGTTGCTCTCGCCAACGATAAAATGTCGAGTATTTTTTTTATTCTCTTTCAAATGTCCTCATAATAATATTAATGTAAATGTAGCGTTTTAATTGTGTGCATTATCTTACCGTTGATTTGTTAAGGAAGCATAGAAGAGGTAATGGTGTTATATTTAATTTTAAACATATACGACTTGGAAAAAATAAATGTTATTCTAACTGTAATATCAGCAATTTTTGTATTTTACTTTATTAATTTTCGTTCGCTTGATTTTTATGGGTAGAACAAGTAACTACTGCCATTGCGAAGGCTTATTTGTTAGTTGAAATTTGTGTAGGTGTAATCATTTACATAGAATTATGTCAAATCTGTAAATTTTTTCTTGAATTTACAAGCTTCATTGCGCGAAGACAAATTGTATTTTGTTTTTTCTCAATTTTCTCCGCATGGTATTTATGATGTATAAGATGCACTATTAACTTCTTTCAATGTGCATTAACACCAACTTTCCCCTGGCAGGAACATAAATTATGCTTAAACATGCGCTTAGTGAAAGTTTCGTGAATGAGTGCCTATTTGTATATGCGGCTATTCATCTATATAAATATAATATAAACTGCTTAGGGTCCATAAGTAAGTCAACTTGTTTGATTTGATGGTTGGGGCCAATTTGCACTACCTTATTGTAAGCAATTGAACCTAGATATTGTAAAGCAATCCTTTTTTTTAAGGTTTTGCAATAAAGCATAAATAAATAAATAAGACTATTGTAATATATCACTGTCAATAGTTTTATAATCTTAATACTTAACAAGTAAAAATTTTCATTACTTTCCGAGTGCTTTCAACTAAACAAAAATTTTATTCGGTTAAGAAAAATCACTAATGAAATTAATCAACAAGCAGAATTTGGCAGTGGCTATTCTTAACTTGTTACTCTATTATTGTTACTACTTTATTTGCAATAATATAATCAAAATAAAATGGCTACATTATAAAAAAAAAAAAGAAGTAAATAGGACAGCAAATTTATTTGTTGAGTAGGAATTTTTATATACAATCTCTTATTTTGTCCTGATATTTTGGTACAGATGTTTCTAGTAATATTTATTATGTCAATGATATTAACAGATATTAAAAATTAAATTATTAATCCTAGAATGTTATAGACAAGTATCATTGAAATACAGCTTTTAAATAAATAGCACAATATAATTAATTGTACCAATATTTTTAGATAACTGCACGGAGGAGACAGTATGCCGTCAACACATTTGAACCTGCGTGAAGATGATGTTATTCGTCTGGCACTCGAGTTCCTCCACAACCGCGATCTACATATCACGCAGCTGTCTCTAGAGCGTGAAACCGGCGTCATAAATGGCAATTACGCTGATGATGTGCTCTTTCTGCGTCAACTTATTCTTGATGGGCAATGGGACGATGTCCTCGAGTTCATCCAACCGCTCAGCACTCTAAAAGCTTTCGAAGCCAACAAATTCAACTATGCTATATTACGCCACAAGTACATAGAGCTGCTATGCATCAGATCCGAAATCAAAGCCTACAACAATGTAGAAAATATTGTTGACGAAGTGGTAAAGGTTTTAAGCGACTTGGAGAAGATAGCGCCTTCGAAGGAGGAATACTCAAATCTTTGCCTGCTACTCACCCTTCCAAGTATAACTGATCATGCCCAATTCAAGAAATGGAATCCTAGCAATGCTAGAGTGCAGTGTTTTCGAGAGGTTTATCCCCTGGTTGAGGCATTTTTACCTTGCGACAAGAAATCCAGTGGCACCGTGTCCAAATGTGCAAAAAACGATCGCTTGATGCAATTACTTATCAAAGGCATCTTATACGAGTCATGTGTTAATTACTGTCAAGCGAAAGCGACGGGCTCGAAGGAGGCGCAATCAAACGAGGTAAACTTTTCCCGTCTGCTCGACGGGTCGGGATTTGATGAATCCGACCTGAGTTTGCTCTCCTGGCTGCAGTCGATCCCTGCGGAAACGTTCAGCGTACCTTTCGAGCAACGGATGCTCAACGTGGACGTGGAGAAGTTGGACCGTCCCTCATTGCACACCTCGTGGACCGAACACATGCTTGTCACGCCCATAAAGCCCCGGACGTTCCCGCACCTGGCGATGCCGTTCAGGCGGCCGCGCTCCGCCGCCGACGCGATGACCAGATCGCTGCGACCGCTGCCCGACGGCGCGCCACGGCACCCCGCCGTGATGGCCCTCTCCGCCATCGACTACGGCCCGTCGTCCTCGTGCTTCGCGGGCTTCCACCTGACCGGCATAAAGGGCAGCAAGCTCATGAACACATCGGTGGACCGCCTGTTTGACAACAAGAACGGGGAGAGCATTTACAACGGCCTGAACGAGTCGCTGCGGCCCATCGACGAGCAGCTGAAGCCAATCGGCGAGCTACCGTCGAAGGCGAACGAGGCGAGCAGCGTCGGCGCTTCGAACGCCACCACACCGGAGCACAGGGGGCATGACTATTCCGCCTCCACGTCCATATCTACCACGGCCGCCTCAACGGAGCGCTCGTCCCTCGCCGAACGCGCGCCGCAGCAAACCGAAACGCAGGCCCTGTTGCCCGCCGCCGAAGGGGACTTCCGACGGGAGCTGCTGAAGGAGTACCAGATACAGAAGCAGCGCGAGTGCGACGACTACCTCCGCAACCTTTGCTCATCTGAATTGCGACCGCAGAAACCGTAAGCCCTAACTTACAGTTCATATTGCTTTGACTGTAGAGTTTGTTTTTAGCGACTCTTTTTAATGCGAATGACTAATCGTATAGATTAGGACTCTGGCCATCAGCGTATAGATTAGTCATTCTAAAATTACTACACGAAAGCAATCTATACTAAACATTGAGACATGAATGATTGATCTATGTGTCTAGCTTCCAAATCTTAGTAACACACGTGTCTTTTTTTTAAATATTTATTTAGCAGATATAAAAAAACATGCATTTGACAAGGTTTGCGATTAGTATTACTACCGTTTGCTTAAATTGTAAATTGCGTCATTCCAGGTTGGAACAGGCCGTCGAAGCGGCATCGGGCTTCCCGTCGTCAATCAAGTATACGCAACAAGTGAATCCCGAAGGTGTGCCAGAATCAAATCAAATCATGAGGTGATTATGTTTTAGGAATACCTCCTTTTATTATTGTCGATGAGTTTTTATAAAGCTTTCTTTGACATACTTCGATAGAGTTTAAGAAATAATTGATTGGAACATAATACTTTTTTGACCCTGAAGTTTTTCTTCGCGTTTAGCCGTCTCGATAAAGGTTGGGAACCTCCGTTCGATTGTAACGGTCATTATACTGTCCGTCGCAGGTTCCTATTTGAGAAAATCATCTCTATTCAAGCTGCGATATACACGAATTTCAATTTAATGAACCAACGTGCGAATGCTGAAGCCGTTTTGTAACATCTAGTAGGGTACATCGTTATATTCGTTGAGTTACGCGATATCAGAATAATTTCGTCACGGTCCTTTACGCCGCGCCGGCGAAGTGCCCATGCAGTTTGTTATGAGCACCGCGACTGTTTGAATCCATTGTTTTCAATTACCCTTTGAATTTTAAAGAAATAACTGCGATATACAAAACATCTGTTACTGTTATATTTAACTAATTATTATCGTACATACATGATTATTTGACAAATTCAAGTCCGTTTTTTTACTTTTCAGGAAGGCGGAGATGGCCGATATGACGGACTCGACGGACGTTATTAATGTAAGAATTGCACACATGTTTTCTGTATTTTTTTCCGTTTTGAACAATGATTATTTAATTGTTTGGAATAACGGTTTCTCCTTGCTTGGTTGCTCTCGACCGAGCATCGTGAGCGTTCCGTACCGGGAGTTTTTGCTTCGTTTCTATCGGTCTGGTCATTATTTTTGCGTCCGCGTTCCATTTGTGACTTATCTTGATTTGATGATGGTTCTTATCTCTCTGCATTCATTACGAGTTACACTTTTGCCCGATGCGGTTGCGCCAATTGTTTTATATGAAAGACTTCTAACCTTGTTGTTCTGCCCAATTGTGCTTAAAGTAAATAACCTATTTCATATAAAAAAGCCATTACTCGTTCTACGATTATTGCTTTTCAAACAATAATCGTAGAACGAGTAGAACGGGTAGATCGGCGAGGTTGCTCTATGCGCGAGGCTCATTGCTGAGAGTCGGGATTCGATTCCAGTCTAAGAATAGTGTTTTTTTTTGCTGTCTTACAAATAATTATTCGGATTTGAATGTTTATCTACTTCAAATTTGTGTATTGCAAGGGCGCCCGAAACAACTTGTAATAGTGGCGATAATTATATTAAAACGAGAAAATAAATGTGGGATATATTTTAGATTGATAAGGAAAAGAAACGGTTAAGTTGACTGTCATCGATTCTTTCTTTAAAGGTTAATGATGTCCCATGGATAAGTCTTAACCTTAGGAATTTCATTAGGCACTTCTTTAAATTGCTTTTTATGTTCACTTGTCTGTATCAAAAGACTGCCTTACCAATCATACCATCAGGGAATAAATTAGGCTTTAGCGAATTGAGCTTGGTGGATTTAACCGGTTTTTTAATTTTAACCGGCGCCACAGTGTCAATAATGATTTTCGAGGAAGTTTTATAATATTTTCATTACGTAAAAGTTCGTGTGATATCGCACGTGGTAATTAAATATTCAATCAGGATAAAAAGGATATTTAACAATTCTAATGACCAACCCGCTCGTTTTCTAACTAAACGGACACTTTCTTTGAATAAATATACTCAGCTGTGATTTATACAATCTGACCCGATCTATTGATTTTCGTATATTATTTAAAAAAAAAACAGAAATATTGTATTGTTCATTATAACATAACTAAATTACAACAAAACAGAGATCAAATCAATTCTTTTAAGTCGATATTGTTCATATATCCATGTTTAAGCTTTTCTGGGGGGATGTGTGATTAAGATTAACATTATCAGAACGTGTTGTCATAAATGAAGTAAAATTAATTAAATCTAAAAAGCCAGCCTAAACACTAGCCCGCGTCTAGGGCACCGCAAAACCTGAAAATAATTTATTCAGAAGGGATTTTATGACCTGTGATATTAATTTTAAAGATTTCGGTCCGATTACTTTTTCGGTTGCTGCTAGTGCTGCTAGGTTACGGCAACACTTGGCGATGACGTAGTTTCGAAGCAAAGTTCGTTGGACCTGCCAATTCGTGCAACAGCAAAGACTGTTGCGCCACGCAGCAGCCTCGGCTGTTGCACGAACGGGCAGGCTCGTCCGAGTAAGTGCCACGACCTCATTGAAGACCGGCGTAAAGGGGAATTGTTACACTTCTTTTCGTCTGGTGAGTGAGGTAGCCGGGGCCCACTTTATTTAAAGGTTGCAAGGCATTTGCGACCTTAAGAGTGTTGCAATTTTCCATGGGCGGCGGTTATCACTTAACATCAGGTGAGCCGCCAGATCGCTTGTCAACTTTTCACATTAAAAAAACAAACAAAGCCTGTTCACTCGGAATTTGCCTGTTGACGAACATAATTTGCCTACAACACAGCTAGCCGGTTATTGATTAGCCGAAGCTGTGCCTTACTGGCGTGAGTCGTTAGAGATTTACGACTTTTTATGTAGACGAATTATTAAATAAATTCTTATCAAAAGTAGACTGCGTAAAAGCAGTAATTCTTTTATGGGACAATGTATCTGTTTTAATAACAAAATCCCAGAAAACGTTCACAATCAATCAATTGCTAAATTCAAAAAAATTGTGAAGGAACATAATATTAGTTATTATTTAAATGAAATGTTTGATCGCTGCAGGCTTTGTCATGTGACAAGTTGCCAAGCGAGCAGGCGGTTCACCTGATATTAAGTGGATACCGCCGCCCATGGACATCTGATACACCCGAGGGTTGCAAATGCGTTGACAACCACTTGAAAATAGGGCTCTGGCTACCTCACTCACCAAACGAAACGCGAAAGTATTTGAGTTAGTGGCAAACGATCTGGCGGTTCACCTGAAAACCGCCTGCCCATGGACATTTGCAACATCCTTTGGGTTGCAAATGCAACCTTTAAATAAAGTGGGCCCCGGCTACCTCACTCACCAGACGAAACGCAGAAGTGTAACAATTTCACTTTACGTCGGTCTTCTGTGAGGTTCTGGTACTTACCCGGACGAGCCTACCCATTCGTGCAACAGCCGAGGCTGCTGCGTGGCACATTGATCATTTTTCGTGATAATGGATACTTGAAAAATTCGTGTTATTATTGTATAAGTTCCGTCGTTGCACCAACGGCACGTTACATCAACTCCATTTACGCAGAGAACTTTACAAACGAACGCACAACCCGTTAATGGATTGCCCAGTTCGTCCGTTTATCGTGGTCGTCCTGACACTATGAACAATGATGAATTAAAGATTATTGTGGTAGCTATAGAGCCGAGCTAGCAGCAGCTCTTGATGTTAGCATCAAAACACTATGTGTCCATTTGCGACAAATTGGTAAGTAAAAAAAGATTGATCGACGGAATTTCGATGGAATTTCACGAAGTTAACGATCGCCAGCGTAACGTACGCGTCGAGACTTTCCTCGCGCAGTTCAACAGGCACAGAAATGAGGGAATTTTTAACCGAATATTTACGTGCGACGAAAAATGTATTCGTTCGACAATCGACAGTGCTCAGCAAGTTGGTTAGATCCTTGTTCATTACTAAAGCAATGCCCTAGACGAAAAATGACCCCTAGAAAGGTGATGGTCCCTGTTTCGTTGTCTATTGCCGGTGTGATTCATCATAGGTTTCTACAAATTGGCATGAGTATTACTGCAGATGTGTACTGTGAAGATCTGAAGACAATGATAGAGAAGCACGCACATCTGCAACCAGCTTTGGTCAATCGATCGTCCCCGCTGCTCCATCACGACAACGCGCGACCCCATACTGCACAACAGACAGTCTCCAAGCTGCAAGAGTTGGGGTTGGAAGCTCACCCTCATTCGTCATACTCACCAGACCTTGCACCTACCGACTATTTATTTTTTCCAAAATTTGGAAAACTTCTTAGTGCGAAAAAAATTCAACTCCGGAGAGGCAGTACAAAATTACTTTGAGGAGTTTGTTGCCTCCCGTCCAGCAGACTTTTTATAGAAGGGCATCATTAAACTACCACTGTATGGGCCCACTTTGAATTCACTATTGCATCTCAATACATTTATGGTAATATTTTTTTTATATTCGATATAACCATTTGAATAAAGATATTATGAATTTTGAAACTTTTTACAGATATAAATAGGTTGAAAAAATACTTTAACTTATTTCATACAAAACGCATACAAGCCGCAGTAGTAGAATAGCACTAGTAAAAGAACTAATCCCGACCGCCGAGTTTCTAATATCTATAAATATTTCAAATTTATTTTTATTATTATTGCTAAACGTAATATTTTAATCATCGCAAGTTTCATAGTTGTCAGTGTTACTCAAATATGATAGTTTATTATAAAAAACCGTTTAAAAACTTTAAAGTTAAACGGTTTTATTTTATGTGCACTGAAAACTACAATATTGTATTGTCATCTAAATTAAATGTGTGTCCGTACCAAATTTCAGATCAATCTGACAACGGGAAGGTGCTTAAATTTCAATTTCTAATTTTGACCCATATAATAAACAAATAAATTCCGTACGGGTCGAGCTAAATAAAACCGTTTAAAAACATATTAAACTACAATTTTTACAAATCGAGACATATTTTATAGATACTTAGCCAGCACAGATTGCACGTGTATTTTTTTTAAAAGTAATTTAACTAAAAACAGAAAACAAATTGCGCCAAGAAACAACCGAAACGATATGGCTATAAAACACTGAATTAATGACATTTAATTCTAGCCAATAAATGATCTTTAGACGTCTTATGAAAACGGACTGGTTCTCAGAGAAGCGTTTAAATGTATGCATCCAAACGCACAAATGTTTACATGTAAGACTATTTTTAAATCTTCATGATTCTATGTAAATCAAACAAGGGTCGAATAATACGTGCTAAAATGCTAACCAAAACACTAATAGATGGCGCTGTAATAAATATTTGCAGAATGATTAAAGTACTAATAGATGAAAGTTGATTAAATTTATCTTGTAATTATTTCTCAACTAACATTTTTGACGTTCAACAGCTGGACTATTTCTAACAGGATGGCCAGTGGTTTTAAATTTTACGCAGAAAGCAATATCAAAGCAAACCGTAGTACAATTCAAATACATGATTGGTAATCTGATCTGCCCGATAGTTGCATATCATTTCGAAGTGGTGAAATTCCAATATTATCCGTTGCCTTACATTAATTACAATACAGAGTTATGATATTACAATCAATATTTTTTGTTTATTTTAATGCTCGTAATCGGACAGACTGTTCAATTGATATTAAGTGATTACCGCCGTCCACAGACATCTAAAACACCTGACGAGTTACAGAGGCGTTATCAACGAGTAAATCTAGGCCCCAATTACCTCATTTATCGAACGAAACGCGAAAGTATATATTTCCAGTTCACGTTGGTCTACGTGCAATATCAGAAGCTGCTATTTATTTATTTTTATGTGAAAATTTGTCAAGCGAGCAGTAGGTTCACCTGATATTAAGTGATAACCGTCGCCCATGGCCATCTCCGACATCTGACAGATTGCAGATGCGCTGACAAAGTTAAAACACGTTGGCCCGGCTGCCTCACTAGACAAAAAGCGATAGTATCCTTTCACACGTCGGTCTTCTGTGGGGCTTTGGTACTTCCCCGGATGAACTTGCCAATTTGTGCAACATTTTAACTGTTTGATGAATAAAAAAACATCAGTATTTTCGCGTTGCTCTACCATTAGTTTTCTTACTGGGGTATAACTCATTGAAAACCGGCGTCCAAGTGGCAGCTATGCTGTCGCGTTTCGTTCGGTATGTGGAAGTCCCGGAGGCCCACTTCCCATCCCTCACCCACACACTTACATAACGGTGCAAAAGAACAATGCCCACTTCCCATACATTTAAAAACCTGATAATGAAAGTGTATGTATAGTTACAAGGTATAACAGAAAGACTACCTTTAAGTTAGTAAATTAATATCATATAGTCATTTTTACGATTGCTGGTCTACGAAGTCCAAAAATTATTAAAAAATGTTACTTTTTAGGTTAGG